AGTGATGCATGTACAGAACCTGGAAATTCAAGAGTTATTTGTTATAAAAAGGTAAGAACCATTTTTTTTCATGTAATTTTGAATTTTTCCGGGAAACTACAACACCAGTACTAGAAACTATACAGGAGGAGGTGAGATTAAGGGGTGAGTTTAAGGATTTCTATACTTTTATTATTTAACTTAAAAAGGTGTAAGATAGAAAGTATGTAATGAGTATTAGGCAGAAATATGGAAATAAGATCAGGAATTTAAGCAGGGTTGGGCAAATTTTCAGAAAATTGTATTCGGATACAGATACTTTATAAAATTTTGTATTAAGATACAAGATCCTTTAGAAAAATTTCAATAAGATATAAGATACAAGATACTTGTATTTTTTAAAAAAAAGAAGTATCTAAGATACAAGATACTTTTTAAAAAAACTTTAAATAGTCAAAATCAAAATGTATAAAGCTTTATTTTCTTATCTATAATATAAATTTATAAAAAAATATTTAAAATAAATTGTAGAAAATAACAAATTTATTATAAAAGATCATGCGATATTCCATTTAATAATTATATAATTAGTAAATAATAATAAATCAGCATCATAAATCAGAATTATTTTTTAATATTATTACTTTTTCAAATGATTTATCGTTCAATCTTTGACGATTTGGTCTATTAACCATATTAGCAAAGCTAAATAATCTTTCAACGGGGGTTGAGGAGGGTAATATTTTTATATTTAATAAATATTTCTTTTATATATTTATGACTAACATATTTATACTCCGCCTGTCATCTTTCATATAATTTAGGACCTCTATTTCAATATCATTTATTGAATTATTAGAATTGGATGTGGTACTTTTAAGGAAAAAGTAATCATCATCTTCATCAATTGAAGATTTTGTTGAAGTATTAATTTATTATTTTTAAAAACAATTAAAACTTAATGTAATAACAAATCCTGAAGGTATTTTTTTTCTTTTTCACCATCAATCCAACGATTTTTAAAATAGGCATGAGAAATAGTTGCCAAAAATACACTTTTAAAATTGTTATCAAAATCATATATATTTTTAAATCTTTTATTTAAATAATTTTCTATGGCAATAGCTAATGGTTTGCAAAATTGTAGATTGGTTTGAATTAAATTTGTAATTTTTTTAACGACATTTAAAATTGGAGCTGATTCTTCATAATAGTAGTTGATTTCACTCTGTATTTTGTCAATCGCTATAGCCAATGGGGCCATTATATTGCAATATTCTTCTAAATATTGAATTTCAATATCTCTTAATTTAGGAAATTCTAATTTTTGACATAATTTAGGTAGTCGCCTTTAAATTTTAATAAACTATGAAGACTATCATACAAACTTTTCCATCTAGTGCAACAAGGTGTAACTAATTGTTTTCCTAAAACTGCTTTGATAAGTTCTGCAGTTTTAGGCCTATTATTTGCATTCCATAGCTTAGTACATTTAGCTATTGCAGGATGATGAATTTTAGAAATGTTAGGAGAATCCTTAATAGCTCTCTCGACATCTGTTGTGGCAATTAGACTTATCATATGGCACAAACAACGAATGTGTTGAGGCAATGTTATTGAGCTTCTTTAGACCCTTAAATAAACAAATAAATAATTTTATTTGAATAAAATTTTTTACTAAATTTACAATATCATAATAAATTTTAAAGAAGTATTAAATAATACTTTCAATGATTTCGAATTCTATACATTCATCATCATTGATGTCAAAGTCATTCTCTACAGCTTCCATAGAATATCCAAACTCCTTGAAAGCTTTCTTAAAGTTAGAGCCGTTATCTGTAACAGTTCCTATAACTTTTTCGTCAATACCAAAGTCACGATGAATTTCTTTATTATGATCATCTTGAAGTACTTCAAAAAATTTGCCATTAAGTATGCTTAGTTTAAATTTATTGTTATAATTTTCGGTTGAAGAATCATCTGAAGACGAAGATAAACATATTATTCTATTTTCTTCTTCCATAATTTTAAAATAGACAGATATAAAATGATTCAAATATGGTAGTTCTAATTGTTAGCAAATTGCTATATGACGACCAATGTCATATATCAAAAATTATCTTAAAATATCTAAATTTTGATTAAAATTTACATTTAAATCTTAAAACAATATCATTTTAACTTTTAATACTATTTAAATTAACCAATATAAAAATTTTTTAAAGTATCTGTATCTTTTTGAATACAAAGTTGGTTAAGATACAAATACTTTTGAATAATATGTATCCTAGATACTGGATACAAGATACTTTCCAAAATTTTAAAAAAGATTCAAACAAATATCCCCAACCCTGAATTTAAGACAGTAATATTTGGTATATTATCTTATGTCTAGATGTATATGGTACATCCAATTTTGATTATTATTTGATATGCCTTAAGACTCATTGAATGGTGTTATAGGTATTCCGTCATAGGAAGTTAAAAGACCTCATGATCAGCAGGACAGAAAGGATTGCTAAATATTTAAATATTTGAAATTTAGGAAAATATATATGGAAATAGACTTTTGTAATAAAGTGTATATTATAATTAAGCATTTTGGGTTTTTAAAGGGAGGGACATGTGTGAGATCATTTATTATTATTTAATGTTAATATATTGTATTTGTAATTTAGTTTCAATTAAGGTTGATGTGTTATTAAGGGAGATTTATTATTAATTAATGGTAATATATTGTATGTGTAATTTAGTTTCAATCAAGGTTGATATATTATTAAGTGATCTATTGAGGGGAAGTTATTGTTGTTTATTTTGAAGTAATTAACCATTTTAATGAAATAGGATGTAATGTAAATTATACATATGGTATATTTAATTATGAATGATAATTTAAAGGAATTGAAGTATGATGAAGTCAGAATAATATCTATAACGTTAGATGTGGTTAGTTATTTTGATTTAGTGTCTGCATTTGATATATATATATAAATTGGGTAGGAATTTATATGTTATATTAGATGATGGGAAATATTTTTTTTAAATTATGAAATCTTTATATTTAATATATATATTTTTTTTTTAAATTATAAATTTTTATAAAAAGTTATATTTGCAATTATTATATTATTTTTATGGTATGCAATGATGTGAAGGGAAATTATTTTTACAGATAAGGTCAGCTCATGTTGAGGGATATGCCTTGAGGTGAAAATATTGTTTAGTTTGCATACTGGGGAAAGTTTTTTTTTGGTGTAAATTTTTTTTTGTAAATTTATGCTGCATAATACATTTTTTAAAAATCTTTTTAATAATTTTATAACACATCACATTTTACTATTTATTTATGAACATTTTTTTTAAAGAAAAGACTCAAATTATTTTATATTGTGAAGGTATATTAAAAATTCTTTACATATATACCATATAGCCCATTATATTCTCAATTTTTGTTACTTTGCATTCTACATTTTTGTGAATTTGTGCTAATTGTGATGACAGAGTTAGGTAGAAATGGTATATTTTTCTTAGGATACTGAGTAATTCCTAGATGGAAAATATTTTCTACATATTATATATTTGTTCCTTCATATATAATATTAAATGTATTTATATACGTATGTATTGTAATTTTATTTATAATCTTTGTTCGGCAAAGTTTTGCAATTATTTTTAATACCTAAAGATGGATTTTTATATTCATTTTAGGAGATATTTATAAAGATGTAGCTTTGTGTTTTTCACATGACAGAAGGAAGACTACATGTGTTGAAATTGCATTTCACACACAGACAATATGTTCACATTACATTATTATATGTAAAATCATTATTTCTTAATTACCATGAATCATACCCAAATAATGTATATTATGGCTCATATTTCCCAAATGACTTAAGATGAATGAATTATTATGTTTGGCTGATATTACATTGTCCATATTAATGTTCCATAGTTTATAAATGCAGATACCCCAATGTACATGTCATTATTGATAATATGTGTTTCCGCGATTATATATTGAAATGTATCGGAGATATTATATTATAAACCATCATAAGGGAAGATGGTTCGATAAATTCCCTAAACGTCTTCAAGGCGTCTCGATACATTTCAAAAAAATGATTTGATACAATTCAGGGTCGATACAATTCAAATGGCGATTCGATACAACACCACCACAGAGAAAGGGACTCTGGGCTTGTGAAGGGTGGGCGTGTTGTAATTGTTGAAAAAAAGAAGAAATAAATTAAATATAATACATAAAATGTCAGTTATTTTCTGACAGGGGAATTAAGTTTTCCTTGGGGGAAGAAGAAGAGATGATGATCACATGGGGTTTCATTGTTAGGAAAAACCCCTAGTTGGAGATATTGGATTAATGGTAGAAGATGTCAGCTGTGGACCTTTGGGAGATGAAGAATTGGATAATTATGATTTATTATATTATATTTTTCTACATATTATATATTAGATTGTTGTTGTTTTTAATAAATAAATTTGGGTCGTCTTATTATGAAATATGGTTTATTTAATATCAAGCTTATTTGATAGCAAATGATCTTGAATGCGTTTATTTGCAAGCCAAGTCATGTTTGCCACAATCTTTATGAAGAGAAGATGCTTCGTGTCTCTCTAAGTCATGCTTTATGTTTTTCTAATTATTTACTCCAAGTTGAGTCCAAAAAGTATTGGACTTAGGGCCACTAAACATAATACAATATAGACAAATAACTTTGTCAAGTAGTGCTATAAGATAGCCAATTTCTGGGGTTGAGGGAACCATCTATATTAACCTTTCTATAATAGGTTATATTCATGCTCCTGTTTAAAAAGTAAAAAAAATAAATACTGGTATAGAAATAATGGATGGGTAAAAATTATGAAAATTATATAATTTAAAACCTCTTGAGAGTAACAGGATATTGAAATTTATTTGTACATGGCTGACAAGGGCCTATAGCAATTATGAAATTAATCAAAATATTTGTCATCCTAAATAATATGAAGTGAAATTGGTCATTTGGTTCCTTTTTTTTGTATAGCTGAATAAGACTTGGACTTTGAATATCCTCATAATTTATTCCCTTCAAAAGTTATTATATAAATTTTATTTAAATAAAATACCTCATGCAAAGTAAGCGCCTCACTGGAACTGGGGATTGGATGAGGAGATGATACAATTTGTTAATGTTCAATCATGGAGATTTGCTATAAATAAAGAGTATAATTTGTTTAATTTAGAAAAACTATATTTTTATAAAATATTAGCCAAATGGTCATTTTATTCTTAGTTACATTATAATTAAGTTTTACATAAATGTTAGAAATATTTAAATATCCTAATAATCATAATTTATTTTCTTCAAAAGTTATCATATAAATTTTATTTAAATAAAATACCTCATGCAAAGTATGCGCCTCACTGGAACTGGGGATTGGATGAGGAGATAATACAATTTGTGAATATTCAATAATGGAGATTTGCTATAAATAAAGAGTATAATTTGTTTATTTTTTAACTCTGATACGATAAATTTTAAACTACAAGAACTACACTTTATTTTTCATCTAATAAATTCCAATAGTATAATCATAAAAATCAATATCTTTTTACAATCAATAAAAATAATAATATTTGATTGACATTCTTCTAAATATAATCCTATATATCTAAATATAAATATTTTATTATTTACAACATGTCCACCCAAAAAAGGCCAAGGACATGTGCACTAAATAAATGAAAATAAATTCACAAAATGAATGTACTAAAAATTTGCCACAATAAAATTTTTAATTATCTTGTCTTAATAATTTAATTTCTTCCATCTCGGCATTGGTGTATTCCTCTCCATTCTTGATTGAGTCTCGAATTTCTTCCGGTTTCATAGAATAACTAGTATGGCCTACATCTGTAAAATCGAAATCACTTCTTTTCATGGACTTTTGTAAAGAATTTATTGGTCTATCTCTTGAATATAATCTATTTCCTTGATACGTCCTAGGCGGCCACACACGATTGCCATAATATTTAACTCGATAATCCAATTCATTTACTTTATTATAATCCATCACTCCCAATTTTCCTTTTTTTGTCACATTATAATTATTTGAACAGCTCGGTTGATCCTCACCATCTTCCTCACTGTAAAATTTGGAAGGACACATTTTGTTTCTTAATAAGTACGCCGGTGTTTTACACTCAGCAAGTAAATGATCAGTACTTTGGCATCTAAAACACTTTCTGCCCGTATGAGATGGTTTCTTTATCTTCAAGTCTTTCACTGACTTTGGGATTATAATTATTTTGAGAAAATTTCACAGCCTATTAAGGGCAATTCCCTAATCATTTCAACTTTTACAAAAAATATTTTTAAAATGAAAAAAATTCTAATATAAAAATTCTTTTTTTCTTATGAAAAAAAATATAATAAAAATTCTTTTAACATCATAATAAAACTTTATACCCCCTTTTCCTTTTAAAACAAATTTCAACTTTTGTTTTTACTAATTCACTATTTTATGTTTTCTTGTAAACTAAAAATATTTTAAACCTTTGTCTGTTTTGAATTAACCATCTTATTTCAATTCATAAACATTTTATTTGCTTCACAATTTAACTAAATTCATTAATAAACAACACTTCTGTTTTTATTTTACATTTTATTAATTAAAACGATTTAACTACACAGTTCGTTTTGTTTTTATCTTACATTTTATTTTTATCTTACAAACAACACACTTCTATAAACTTCTCTTCAACCAAGAAATTTATATATTTACCACACGATCAATTTTTATCCATTTCTTTTTTTAAAAAAAGAAACTGATTATTTAACTTAAATCATTGGAAAAATTTATTAAGTCAAACCTCAACTTAAATCATCAGGAAAAATTGAGTGTCACAAATTAATTAAGAATCAACCATATCACAATATCATGATAAATGGAGTAATAATCATTACTATAATACAGCTAATTCTTATAATTAGACTAATATTCACATAATTCTAAATATATATTAATTTTATATCACATTAACTTCGGTTCCCCATTACTTCTAATAACTTAACATAATAATTTTATATCACATTAACTTTAGAATAACTTAAATTTGAGAATACATTAATTTTGGAATACAATGTTTTTTTTGAATAACCACAATTTTATAATACATTTTTTGGGAATAACATCAACTGAAAATAACTAATAGTTTATCTACGTATTTTCAATTGATCATTATGACGGATTTCCTTAATTCCGTCTATAAACTTCACACGATTTAATTTGTTTCCTAAATTTTCTAAAATACAATCCTTTTCCCATTTTTTTTTATTCTCTAAAATTCTAGCCCAAATCATTTGTCCCACAGGAAATTTTGTGTTGTTTTTATCACATGGTAATTTACTAAAACTTCCCTTTGATTTAAGAAAATCTAAAGGTAATCTGGTTTTTCGACCTAAAAATAATTCCACAGGAGTAAAACCTTCTTTATTTTTAGAATTATTATAATATAACTGAGCCATCCAAATTTCAGTTTTTTCTATTTTGGCTTTTTTATCCAATTTTTCACTATGGCTACCATTCTTTCAGACTGACCATTAGAACTAGGATGATATGGCGGAGTCAACATATGGTTTATTTGCAATGAGGTACAAAAATGTTTAAAAATTTCACTTATAAACGCTGGACCTCCATCTGACACAATAATTTTAGGAATACCAAACTTTGACCATAATTTTTTTAATAATTTGATAACAACTTTGGTTGTTAACCCATTAACCTCTTCATATTCAATCCACTTAGAATATGAATCTACAATTAAGAAATATGTATTTTTATCCAAGTCAAAAAAATTAATATGAACCCTTTCCCATGGTTGATTTGACTTTGGCCATACACCTCCCATTTCTTTACGGGGCATTGTAGCACACGTATTACATGGTACACATTTATTTGTAATTTTTTCAATTTCCAAATTCATACCAGGCCACCACACATATTCACGAGCCCATGATTTCATTTTATTTTGACCCTGATGACCTGCATGTAATAAACATAAAATATTATCCCTCAATTTATATGGGATTACAGCACGATTTCCCCGCATTATATACTCATCCACAATTGAAAATTCTTTTTGTATTTTCTTATACGCATCTTGTTTAATTTTCCAATTTTTTTTCCCTATTAAACACAATTTCACTTGACTTAAACCCTGTCTTTCAAAGTATTCAATTTAAGGTCTTCCCACGTTGTAGGACCTCCCTTCAATATATATGATAAATTACACACTAAAGCATCTTCCCTATCCAAAATTATATTATCAATTATTTCCGGATTTGCACAATCTGATCCTAATCTAGACAACACATCAGGCAAATTATTTTCCTTTCCTCGCCGATATTTAATTTCCACATTGAAACTTCCCACAAGTAACAACCACCCTTGTAATCTTGGGGACATCATCAATTCTTTGTTATCTTTTTTGAACAAATGAATCAATGGCTTATGATCAGTATAAATCACAAATTTTTTACCAATCAAATATTCACGACACTTGGTTAACCTAAAAATAACCGCTAAGGCTTCCTGTTCAATCACAGAATACCTAGTTTCAACTTCATGAAAGATTCTTGAAAAAAAAAATTGGTCTTTCTAACCCATCAATTATATGTAACAATGCGCCTCCAACACCCTTGTTGGATGCATCCACTGTTAAAATTATTTCTAAATCATTATTAAAACACACTAAAATAGGTTCTTCACCAATTTTCTTTTTCAAAATCTCAAAAGGATTTTGTTGTTCAAATTTCCACTCAAAAGGAACCCCTTTTTTAATAAATCGTACAATGGAGATGCCACCTTTGCAAAATTCTCCACAAAACGATTATAATAATTCAACATGCCCAAAAAATATTGTACTTCAGCTTTGTTACTTGGCTGATTCATATTAAATATATTTTTAAAATTTTTATCAAGAGGCTTCACTTCAACCCCATTAATTTGATGACCTAGATATATTACTTCAGTTACACCTAGAACACTTTTTTCTTTGCTAGCCCTCAAGCCCTTATCACGAATTCTCTTGAAAACTTCTTCAAGACGTTAATTATGCTGTTCTGGCGTCACCCCAGTTATCAGTACATCATCCATATAGTAAAATACACCTTCTAGCCCTTGAAAAACAGATGCCATGGTACGTTGGAAAATAGGTGCTGAAACACTTAATCCAAATGGTAATCTGCAAAACGCAAATAATCATTTAGGTGTAGTTATCGTTAATAATTTTTGAATTTCCTCCTTTAAAGGTAATTGTTACTAAGCTGACGAAAAATTAATTTTAGAAAAATATTTTGCACCTTTTAAACTGGCCAAAATTTCTTCAATTCGGGGCAATGGATATTTAACTTCAACAACCCACCTGTTTAAAGTTACTCTAAAATCAGCACATAGTCTTAACTTCCCATTAGCTTTTTTCACTGGAACTAATGGTGTAGCCCATTCACTATAATCCACCGGAATAATAATGCCATCTTTAACCCAACGGTCTAATTCGTCGTTAATTTCTTTTTTCCACTCAAAAGGAACTCTTCGACATGCTAGAAAAACAGGTGAAAATCCCTCTTTTAATTTCACATCCACTTTATAATCATTAAGACATCCCAAATTGTCTTCAAAAATTATACCATATTTTTCCATTAAAATAGATATATCTTCACAAATTCTCTTCAATTTAATGACTTCTAAATCAACTATTTGATTTTCATTGATTTCAGTTTTATTTTGAACATTATCCAAGTTAACCATTAATTCCTCGGAAATTTCGCTCATATCAGGATTAATAGAAGGATTCACTTCCTTTTCTATCAAATCTGATATTACTATTTCATGAATTTTATTTATAACATTATTATTCATAATTTTGCATTTAGTATTTTTTAGTATCAAATCACTATTTGTTGTAAAAATATTCCAATAGTTGTTCATGGGACCAATTTTAGTAATTCAATCCCAACCCATGATTGTTTCTACATCTTTTTCTACCACCCATAAGTCAAGAAAAATTGTTAAATCATTTGAAATCACTTCTAATTTAGTTTTACCCAAAACCAAAATTTCAGACCCATCAAATTGTTCAACACACATGTTTTCTTTCTCGAGTGTACCCTTAGGCCAATATTTATAACAATTTGCTCTAGACATTATTGAAATGCTGGCCCCTGTGTCAAACAACATTTTTATATTCTGTCTATCAAATTTTATATTTACACGAGGACACGAACACTGATTAATTTCTCTTCCAATCATTAAAATTTTATTCATTATATTTGAATCACCATAATATCATTAATATTCATGCCTAAATTCAACTCTGAATTTAATGGCCTCTGAATATCAATACTTTTTTTATTAAATATATCGGAATTATTTTTAACTACACTATATATATTACGAATTTTATTATTAATACTTTTTTGACT